ATAGCAACGTACTTATCAGCTAGAAAATGCATTCACTCATGTTCTCGAAGAAACTTCGAATGAGTGTTATAGTTTTTTCTTTTTTTGTTTTTTTTTCCCTCTTATAACTACGTTATTATAGTAAAGCCTTCTAGGGAGCCGATGAAGATGCCACCAATAACGAAGTAATAATTTTTTGTGTTTTTTCTCAATATCACGAGCAGCAATTTTTGCGCCTATATCGAGATTATGTACCACTGCACGCCATACCTACACGCTACCGAACAATTAAATCAATTAATTTATAGGAGAGTTTGCAGTGTGCGAGCATATTATGCTAAAGGTATTTCATACTCACAAAGGGTGCGAGTGAAATGCATAACGTACGTTTAATGGAATGTAAGTGAAGTGCCTTGTGAAATTTGTGCTAGTCTCGGTGCATATGTACTTATTTCACCAAACATTAATTACTTACGCTTTGTAAAAGATGTCGGTATTGTGATCTGTCACTATTTGCCCAAGCAAGTTACATATGAATAAATAGATCAAGTGCGTGATTAGCATCACGCTGCATAAAAACATTCCGTTTGCATCACTCATATCGTTGACTGATATCGAATATTGAAAAAACTACAATACAAATATCCTTTTACAATTTAACCTTTTACGAAGAAATTTCGCATTTTGCAAAAAGAACAGTTTCTCCTATATTTTTAACTGTATATCGTTCTTTTTGTACCTTTTTTCTTTTTTATAAAAAAGAAAATTTTCTCTACCTCTACGTTTATACTTAATAATAATAATTATTATTACAGTAATCTTGTTGCGATAACAAATTACTGCATGGCATATATTTCGCGACCGAGCAATCTGCGCCATTGACATTAGAAACTAACAAAAGCAAAATCTTTTATCTTTTTTTCGATTAGTGTATTTCGAGTAGCGTTGAATTTTTCGAAATATCCACTGTAATGGATGTGAAGCGTAGGAAACGATAAAAATACAATTATATTCACTATACTCACTTGAAACATATTAAGACTTAACGACGAGATACCTATAACGATCATAAAAAAGTAAAAGATCGTGAAAATGGACTGGATGAACTCGGCAAATCTACCAACAAAAAATAGATAATATGAACTCGCATGATTTTTTGTAATATCCAGCCAGCGAATCTCTTTCAGCATGTTTCCGTATATTTGCAAATACTAACTCGAGCGCTCGCCGATGAATGTCAATTGCGTTGATTATTCTCTCGCGAATAATGCGATCCTTTTCGGAGATGGATAAGGCTGGTATTTTATCATTGATATATTTGAAACGGTGACTAAAAGATCGCACGACACATTTATTACATATTTGTGTAACTTGTCTACATTTAAGAGATATGTTGTATGCAAAAATCAATAGTGATCAAATAGATTTTGCGTTTCAACGAACAAGAAAGTGTTAAAAAAATGTGAAAAGTTATAATTAGTTACGTAATCATCGTTTAATCATCATTGTTTAATGCAGTGTTATTTCCTTTTTACTTTTTTTCGATTATTTAATTATTTTATCGTCTTCGCTTACGATGCTCACCCAGCTATTTTCAACATCGCACGGATATGTAGTACATATCCTACAAGCGTACCACCTGCAATAATTGTTGCAACACTTCCGACGCAAGTAGTTATTATACCATGTATTAGAATAGCTTGAAAATAGCGATTTTGGTCGATGAAATACTCCGTTATGAAGATATGAGATTCGTTAAACAGCACCATAATATCGAGAATATTCGATAGAAATAGAAACAATATATAAACAGCCAGGAAAAAATTCAGGATCACTACAAAACACATGAAAGATCAAATATACTGCGATATATTCTCATCATACATACAAGGTCCGTCGAAAAAGAAACCGAACTTTTTAAATTGCGTACCAATACGTTAGTATTTGCTTGCTCGAGAGGTGGCGTTCTACAGTGTAACTGTTCTAAAATAACACAGCTTTTGCCGCGTCACTCTGCGTGCTTTCACTTTCAGGCTACAGTGATTTGAGTGAGTGCATATTTAGGTGTTGTGGTGATTTTGGCGTGTATCATGAGTATGTCCCGCACAATCAAACTGTCAACATAGAGTTTTATTTACAAGTAATGCGGCGTTTGAGGGAGGTAGTCAGGAAGAAAAGACTTGAAGTGTGGGCAAACAAAACGTGGATGCTGCATCACAATAATGCTTTCGCGCTCCTTATTCGGCGCTCCTTATTCGACAATTTTTTTGCAAAAGACAACACGACTGTCATTCCCCAGCCTTCATTCATCTGATTTAGCACCTGCTGACTTCTTTTTGTTCCCTAAGCTAAAAAGTTATTTAAAAGGACGGTTTTCAGAGTATAGATGATATAAAAAAATTGCTAGAGGAACTCAAGACCATTCCACAAATCGCATATCAGAATGCATTCCAACAGTAGAAAAAACGTTGGGAGCGGTGTATCAAATCATTTTTAAAAAGTTCGGTTTCTTTTTGGACAGACCTCGTATGTTTGTTTCTCGTCGACAACTCAGTTGATGAATAATTTGTCTTCATTGAATACGACAAAATTGATTATAAAAAATCGAACGAAACTTTTTAACTGACCCCCAATAAAATAGTAATTATGTCGCATGTCATCTAATCTTAACAATGACAATCTATGGAAATACATTCGAAATCAAAAGCTCGATTTATTACCCATTATAACCAGCATAAATTGCCTCGAGATATTAGCGTATTTTCTCAGTATATCGACTTCTTCATCTGGAGTCTTCGATATCGTCCATTCGTCACGAATACATTTGATGATGTGTTTTATCTACTTTTGAATAATCTATGAATACATATGGTTGCATCGGAAGGCAATGACATCGAGTACATTGTTATGTACGAGGGAAGTCTGAAAAGTTTTGAGCCTAACATAGAAACAAGTATTTTTTCGATTAAATGTAGTTTTATTTTTCAACATAGTCTCCTTTTAAGTCGATACATTTTTCCCAGCGATGCTCTAACCCTTTTTAACCCTTCCAAATAGTAGTTGGCGTCTTGCTCCGCAAGATAGGCATTTACGTATGCGATGACCTCCTCGTTCGATGAAAATCTCTGTCCTCCAAGCGAAACTTTAAGCTTGGGAAAAAGGAAAAAGTCGCTGGGGGCCAGATCTGGTGAATACGGTGGGTGGTCAACCAATTCGAAGTGCAATTCGTAAATTTTGGCCATGGCGACCGCCGAATGTGTTTTTGGTCCAAAGTGAGCAAGCGCGGCACCCAACGCGCGGATAGCTTACGCATGTCCAATTTTTCAGTCAGTATATGACAAACGCGTTCTTTCGATATGCCCATAGCCTCTGCTATCTCTCTAACCTTGATTCGACGGTCGTTCAGTACCATTTGGTGAACATTTTCAATGTTATCGATGGTGGTCGCAGTTTTTGGCCGTCCCGAACGCGCATCATCAGCCAAGCTGGTACGACCACGTTTAAATTCAGCTGCCCATCTTTTCACGGTGGTAAATGATAGGACAGAGTCCCTGTAAATAGCGTCCAACTCGGTTTTTATTTGCGCAGGTATATTGCCTTTCAAATGCAAGAATTTAATCATGGCACGATATTCGACTTTTTCCATTTTTACAAAAACACTGACATCAACTGACACAAACGACTGTCAAACAACAACTGAGCGTCCAAAATGGCTGAAATTTTCACAGTCATCTTTCAAAGCATTCAAAGCATTGTAGTACCAGAATGGTTTTGACGAGTAGAGCCATCTTCATGTTGAGGCTCAAAACTTTTCAGACTGCCCTCGTACGTGCCATGTACGCATGTACCATGTTTCATCTGAATTCGGGGATTGGTTTACTTACGCGCGTGCTGTTCAACAGAAAGGAGTTATATTTCAAGATGTACAGCAAACTGGGAAAAAGCTGCGAAAGAATTTTTAAAATGGTATCTACATCGAGTTCCAGCGTGACAAATATTGTCAACTGCGAACGATAAATTCATATTAGAAAATCAAGAGTGTTTCTCAATTTCGCGAAACGGCAGATTGTATTTCGCGTCATTTCTTACGTAACGTAATATATATTGTAACTATTATTTGATAGAACCATTTTGTCACAGCTGTATTCACGATAGATACGACCTTCGCGGATTTTCGTCGACCCTGTATTTGGAGTGGAACATAAATAAAACAAATAAAATAGGATTGTTTCATCTTCTTCCTGAAAGCGGTATTCCCAAAGCGCGCACGGTGACCCTCGTCGTCTCGATTGTCGAACTGTGAAATCGAAATTGTGATCTCTGAACAGATGGGATATACCTGATAGCTCGTGAAAGAAACGAGCAGGCCGAGAATCAACGTAATTTGGATAATTCGAAATCTCCTGATACGGCCACCGTATATCCCCGATAGTCCCACCGTTATCAGAAGTTTTCGGTTAATATCGTAGTATCGATCCGCGGACGACGGTATCATTTCTCTTGGAACATTGAAGAACGTACGAACAACGAGAGACTACTTCTCTTCGCTCCATAAAACGAGAGACGCGCGATAAAACATTACTAACACCTCCTCTGCCCTTAAATTTGCTCAGGCCGTGGATGGTAAAGAACCATTTTCTCGGGGACCGAGTGAGCGTATAATATGATATTTGGCCGCGTAACTGACGTTGCGCGTATATGCGTGTAAATTAAACTTCTCCTTTCGTTCGTTGCTGTTTGTACCCTCGCTACTTGAGAATTATCATAATAAGTTTCACAATCGTGCTACTTTATCTCTCCTTTTCGCAATAATTTGCACGCACCACTTTGTAGTTTCCGTCTCGTCTGCGCATACGCGATTATTTTCCGGGACGCAATATCAGTATTGTCTCAATCATCATATGGTGCGTGTCTTCGATCTTTTCATATTTCGAATCGACGAAATATGTGCTCGCGTTGTGAGTATTATTATGAATAACTACAGGGATAAATCGTGTATATACGCATAAAGATCTTTGTAATAAACACAAATTGCCGCAAGACATCATTTATTTGTACAGACACGCAGTGATACAAAATTCTGGAAATTATTTTTAATTTGCTGGACATTATCATTTATTATATCGTCGTTGCTGAAATGTGCTGAAAATTTAAAAGAAAAAAAAATTGATTTATCCCTCTGGGAAATTTTGAATTTTGAAATTTATTTCTTTCCTTTGTTGTATGTATGTGTGCGCGTGTACAAATAATTTCACAAAACCGGACAAAAATCCAGTTTTTCAATATCAAAAAATAAAACGGAAGTACCTTACGATTTCAATTTGACGATGGTTTAGAGTCATGATGCATAATTACACCGTTTGTAATGGTAAATTCCTGAAAGGCTCACTCCCGTATTTTCTCATCATTTATTTGCGTGGAATAAATTACCATGAAATACGACAGAGATGTACTCAATAGCTGAAAAATATAGATATTTTATTTGCATATGTGCATTAAAATCAACGTTACTGTATTTGAATTAATATTTGAATTAATCACCGTGGTAAAACCTTCGAGTGAACTGACGTAAAAGCCACCAATGACGATAGTGTAATTTTTCGTGCCGTACTGTAGAAGGAACAATATTAATCTCTGAACTCGAAGTGGAGCTACGTACCACATCGAGCTGTATCTATATGGGCATTTTAATGGAGACGATATTGGATAAATATTATTTCATTATACTTATTTAGTAACGAATACATTATTACAAGAGTTATTACATTATACGAAATAGAGTTTGAAATATTTGAAGATATTCGCAGTCAAAATTTTGGTTTCACATTAACCTAACCTAACAAATTCCATCGAATTTGGAAAATCCTATACAGGCTATCGTCTTGTGTTCCTGATGTTACAAATGCTTATTCTATATTACATGTCAAATTATCTTTAAAAAAGATAAATAAGCAACTTGTGCAACATCAAGGTAGGCTAACAAGTTGGACACTTTATATCTCGAGATTCTTCGCGTCCTTCATGTAATCCTTCACATTCGACAGAATTTGCAGGATTAATATACAGGGTATTTGGTAACTCATGTAGCTAATGGAAGCATAGAAGTGATTAAAACAAACATAACAGTCCCATACCGTTTTGCGATATTCGCAATAATTATCGAGTTATTGGTTATAGAAATCTGACGAGTAAACGTGCGCCGAGATGCATGATTGGAGGAACATTACAGCCACTCGGGTTACAGCAGGGTGGGGGATAAGTCCCCAGTTCGGGCAGATTTCGGAGATGACGCCTACTTTCCCCCTACTACCGCTCCTGGCTTGACGATCGAGCCGCTGATCGCGTGCGACAGCTTTGTTTTCAGAAGTGTTCGCATATGAAAAATATGCTGGGATTGTACTTTTTGCCAAATCGTCATTAGAATTTTGACAATAGATTTCCACATCACTCATGAGGTACTATTGTTGAAGCGTTTTTTTTAAGTGGTTCCTTAGTAAGCTTATTTCACTAAAAATTAATAAAGATAAAATATATAGCTTTATTCTAATGACAGTTTGGCGAAAAATATGATCTTAGCCTATTTTTCATATGCAAACACTCTTGAAAACAAAACTGTCGCACGTGATCGGCGGCTCGGTCGTTAAGCCAGGAGTGATAGTAGGGGGAAAGTAGGTGTCGTCTCCGAAATCCGGCCGAACTAGGCACTTATCCCCTAGCACTGGGTTACAACATAGTCCAATTGATCTAGCAACTGTTACTGGCGTGCGGCGAGATGCAGGAGCGGCGGAAATAAGATTAGCGCGTAGTCGAACAGCGACGTATTGTCCTTCCCTGTACCGACAATCGTCAGATTTCTATAATTAATATATCTCTATAATTAATTCTATAATTATATAATTCTATAATTATATAATTAACATCCATAATTAATAACTCGATAATTATTGCGAATATCAGAAAATGCTATGGGACTTTTATGTTTGTCTTAATCGATTTTATACCTCCATTGGCTATAGTTACATAAATTACCAAACACTTTGTAGAATCATAATTTCAACTCGGAATTCGATACGAATTGATACTCACGCCGCGAGAAATAGATTGTTGCAGTGATCTGTGACCTCTTGTGCCATATAATTCGCAAAGAACATGTATATGAAATGTGCCATCAGCATCGCTATGATCACGAAGAGCTCACGCCAATCGCAGGTCGTTTGTAATGTATAAATAATCTGAGACATAATACATCCTTTATTTCGATGATAATTTCGGAGATGCTTCATATAAGTGTGATTTTTAGTGCAATTTTACTACTTACTCGAAACATACAGATACTTATAGAACCCGCGCCTATCACGATTAGAATAAAATACAATAGCGCAAAATTAGACATGACACGACTCGTGAACCTTCGAAATCGAAATAATCTCTCAAATTTCTCGGTAGATGTACTTGGTGGAAAAGACAGAGAAACAAACGCATAATCTCAGCTCGACGTATTTGTACGCTACTATTCGCTCTCGTTCAACTTACATAAAAGATTTTTAATTGCGATGTATTGCAACGTATAATTTCATGCATTATCTAATATAACAAAACAAATGGATTTAACGATAAATCAGTTGATGCGGAAATACGAACTTTAGCGCTTGCTGTTGAATGTTTACAGCTTGCATCACCCTCACACGCATAATACGTTCCTTCATTAACGATGAGGTTTGCTGTATATCCTTTGTGTTCATTGCACGTTCAAGTCGATAGCTGAAAAATTCTCACGAACGTTATTCGTGATGCCAACTAGGAATGAAGGAAGAATCTTTGGAAGTTCTTAATAAAGATTCACCTGGCGATCTTTAATAAACCACAGGCATGTTTCAAGAACAATGCCATGAGCGTAGCCATAGCTACAACCCCTATGGATCCAATACTCAAAAACAAGATGAAGTGCGTTAATATAATATAAAAGTATTTCTCTCGATCGATACAATAATCGAATGGGACGTACATGCAGGACGCGAAAGTATTGTTGTGCGACGAATAAACGCTAAATATATAAGGCGTTACTGACAGTATCAAATATCCAACCACCATGCTGCAACAAAATACTAAGAGACGGAGAAATTTATTAGTCTTTTATTTATAAATTAAACATGACAATATAAATACGCTGGAAAAAATTGTCATTCAACAACGAAATTAGGAGTATCTTCTTAAATAAATAATTAAAATGTATTAGGTTGTTATATGTGGCATACGAAAGATTTGTCATTTTTCTATTTAATTCTTGTAAAAAAGTTTGAATATTAAAAGGAAGATAGGAAATCTTCGTTAGATGTCTAAAGAAATATCGAATTGATGTTGCTCATTTTATTTGTAAAAAATTATTAAAATTAAATAATTTTGAAATCAGATAATTTCGTTTTCTGTTTATTTAACAAATATGACAAACCTTCTGCTACAATCTGATATTAATAAAAACAGAATATGTAAAAAAATGAATATTAAACAAAAATAGATTTTGTTATTTCCTAGTATGAATAATTAAATCCATTTACAAAAACTTGCTAATACAAGGTGTCTTATAATTAAAGTTGCAGAGCTCGTAAAGACATAGAACGGATTAAAATAAACATAAAAGTCCCATATCGTTTTACAAGATTCGCAGTAATTATCGAATTATTAATGACAGAAATCTGAATGAAAGCGCACCAACATAGATGATTGGAGAAGCGTTGCAGCCATTTTGACAAGAGCGCAGCCCAGTCAATCCTGCAACTATTGCCGGTGCGCGGCGAAAAGAAAAACAGCGCGCCGCTATTCGTATTTTATTTCGCCGCACCTATGTCTCGCCGTATCGCCAATAATTGCTAGGTCGATTGAGCCGCGCTGTAACCCGAGAGCACTGATGGAAATTTGGTAACGAGTTTGCTAGAGAATTTCCCCTACCACGCACGCACACAGCCAGCTCGGTCTATTCGTATGAAACACGCACTTGTCAACTGTCACACGGCTAGACCGAGCCGGCTATGTGTGCGTGCATGGTGGGGGAAATTCTCTGGCAAGCCCGTCACCGAATTCTCATCACTGCCCGAGAGACTGCGACGCTTCTCCATCTCAGCGTGCGCTCATTCGTCAAATTTCTGTAATTAATAATTCGATAATTATTGCGAATCTCGCAAAACGGTATGAGATTTTATTTATGAGACGGCGAGGTATGGTTGTCTTAACCTAATTTACTTTCATACTTCGGGTTGGCAGCTAATTATCGCACACCCTGTATAGAATGTTTGATAATATAGCTATAGAGCTATTGCAGGCATAGAGCTGATTGAGGTAGAAAGAAAAAAGTCAAATACTGTTTTATAATATTCGCTATAATTATCGAATTATTAATTATAGAAATCTGACGAATGAGCGCGCGTCGAAATGGTATTGGAGGAACATTTTAGCCGTTCGAGCTATAGCGTGGCCCAGTCCATCCAGCAACTGTTGCCGGCGCGTGGGGAGACGTAAGAGCGGCGAGGTAAGGCACGAATAGCAACACGTTGTTCTTTCCTTCGACGCGCGTCGGCAACAGTTGCTGGATAGAAGATGAGCCACGCTATAATTCGCGAGACTGAAATGCTTCTCCAATACCATTTCTGTGCACGCTCATTCGTCAGATTTCTATAATTAATAACTCGATAATTATTGCGAATATCGCAAAACAGTATGGAACTTTTATGTTTGTCTTAATCCGCTCTGTGTCTCCACGAATTCCACAAAGTGAGTTATGAAACACTCTGTGTATGTGTGTGTGTATATGTGTTAATAAATTGAACAACGAGTAAAATATCTCGCGCTGTTTTTCTTACCCGTCATAGTCATAGTGAGAAATTTCACTTCTACGGCGTATTTTTCTATTATCTCGCGTTCACGCTCATCTTTTAATGAATTCCAATCGGATTGAACAGTTTCCAATAACCGCGTCACCTGTTACCGAATATTTCAGAAAGGAAGACAGATAAATAGAAAAAGAAAGAAGGAGGAAGGGAGGGGGAGAGAGAGAGAGAGAGAGAGAGAAAATTACATGATACGTTTAAAGAGCAAACATTTCGAAAAACCGTCTGAAACGAGCCATAATAAAAAACGAGCACGCGACGTTCAACAATCCGTAAAATCGTAAGATTCGTAAGATCAGTTGACAAAGCTGTCGCGTTTCTCTTTGATCTTTTTAGGAGAATCCGACGATCAGCAACGAAGCTAAATTAGTAAATGATGAATCATGATCGATTATTTTTATGGACGAATAAAATGCGACGAGGAAATTAAGCACGACGAGCCGTTCACCAAGCCGATCTTACTCCGAATAAAATTTGTCTCGCGAATTCGCAAGATTTCTAAAGATTTCATCGAAGACTTACGAGTTCCGTGTTGAGATAAAAGTAATAGTACTTGATCATCACCACGCTGGTTGGAAACATGAATGTCAAAAAGTCGATGAACTGAATCGCGCTCAACTCATGCGTGATAAACACAGTCAGCTGGAACATCACGTTACTTGCAACGATATGTACTCGGAAACGCAAAACTCTGTTCAAATTCTACACACGCGTATGACATAATACACGCTTGTTCTAATAATTGCACGGATTGAAATTATTTACTAATCGTACCTGAACGTAAAACGTGCTCGCGAGTATGCTGTAGAAGAACAACTTCTGCGCTGTCGCGAGCATCGAACTTTCGCACGGTAGTACGCCGCTTATCAAAAGGATCCAGCGATTAATCCTGTAATGCGGCTTCTCGATGATGAGCATCTGGCGATAACGTGATGGTTACGACGGTTTTTTCACAACCGACGTTATACCCGTTCCTCGTGTCGTTTCGTTTCTATCTCACACCGCGAACACCGTCGTGCTAATTTTTCAGCCTTCAGGCATCGAAGTATTCGCGAGATAGTGGCGAAGAAAATCAAACAACCGGAGCCTTGCGTTATTCGAGGTAATACAGACTGAGACAATCTCCATAATGCTGTTTCCTGCATTATTACTTCATTGAGTGGGGACAATCGCGAAATTGCCACGACATTACTTTTTTAGCAAAAATAAGGGGACTGGAATAGCTCGGGAAAAGACGCAACGCAAGCGCAGTAGCACAACGCTCCGAATGCCTCCATCGTATATGGCTTTCATTATCGCTCGAACTGTCGTACTCGCTGCTACTCCTCTCCTCTCGGACATTTCGATTTGCTATTTACGGTGCCAACATGCAGCAACGCATACAGCAGCGCTGAAATCTAATGCACCAATACGGACAACGTGATTCGATAGAATTGTGAAGAAATTGCAATGTAACTCGCGATTGTGCTTCTTATAATGTAATTCCATTAAAAAGTAGTGTTCACACATACACACTCACACACATTACGGTGATCATTGCGTGATGTATGAAATATAGTGTTGGAGAAATTAAACAGATATATTCGTTAAGCTCTTTGACTAGACATATATTACATTGATATTGTTGAACTTAATTTACAATATTCAACAATTTATATGTTGATAAAATTGTTAATTATATAACGATGATAACATTAAACACGACACTTGGCATCACCTCTTATTTGGAAAAATTATAGAGATTAAAGCGTAATTTGAGAATACAAATGAGTGCTCTTTAATCTATTGATGATGATTTGATATTGACGAGAGGAACTAAAGGAAGGCGGACTTTTCCTGTGATTATATTTACATAAATGTTAAGTGTCATACAAATATAATAGATAGAAACTCGTGCGATTTTAAATGATGAATTCGAGACAAAATGGAATGTCGTATTTTGTGAGTAACGGTATAAACAATTTGTTTCAACGACAGATGATTCGAATGTTTCATATTGTCGATAAGGTGAGTATAGAGACCTAATATTATTGTGTACATAGACGTGTGTTAGAGAGAATTACAAAAATTTATTTTGAAATTGTCCTTACGAGTCTGTATACTTTTCTCTAATACAGCGCAAATTCCGTCCATTTTGCATCTGTGCGTGTGCGCATTTCTAAGAGAAGATAAGGCTTTATCTATCGATTATTTATTTATCTTTGGACAGAGTACATCACGGTAACATAAGATAGTGCAGTATTCGCGAGCTGAAAAACATGTACATCAATTTCATGTACATCTCGGTCGAGTTGTCTCGTGTTTTCAGCATTACTTACCGTGACGAAATTTTGTATCTTTGCCACAAATATATAGCCGATCATGAAGTGAAAATCCTTGCTGGCTTTTTGCATCAAGAACAAGAGTAGTTTTCGTGACGATATCGGTATTACGTACCACGATATATCATATCTAACGATTGTTGTACAAATATAAATAAAAGAACATCCTTTTTACATAAACGCAACAAAAAAGTTTGCTTCGGAACAATCGAAAAGTAGATCAATAAAGTGGAAGAACACGTATGTTTCAATAATTTATTATTCTACCGTTCTCAAATACGAGAAAAAGAGAAATATAAATTCCTCCTTCGTGAAAAAGATTTAATCATTAAATAGCATCTATTTTCCACAATTATCAAGTGATTAAGTATAGTAGAGGCATACATTCGGTACTTACGATGACGTAAAAATCTCGCGATGATAATCGCTGATCATCTCTCCTAAATAATTTGCCATCAGCATATAAATCAGATGGAATAGTGAGATAAAGAAAGATAGCAATATGTCCGCTATGTTATTTGAGACTTTTATCGCATCGATAAACTATATATCATATCATATGTTAGAAGTCATGTTAGAAGTCAACTATATATCATATCATGTTAGAATTGGCAAAATGGATTTAATAATACGGAAAAGAAATAGGGTCGATAAGCCACGATTTCGGCCTCCTCTAGATTTCATTGTAAATTATCAAAAACTATTTCTTAATACGTAAAATACAAAGCTGTTTTCATAAAAACAATACATAAAATATTAATCTGTTTTTACAGCCTAAGAGGATATGTTCAACGTGACCGTTTCTTGTTTAAACATAAATATTTGTATTTATATTTCGTGTAGTACTACACAACTCACTTGAAAATCGTGGATATTATGTTGGAGAATCGTGAACATCATAATAAAAAATTATTTTTATATGTAAAATAATTATATGTAAAATTCATGATAACAGTGAAATAAATCGGGTAGCACACATATACCTGGCCACAAAACCGTGAAAAATGATCACTTTTTATCATACTGGATCTGAGTTGCAAAAATTGTGACTTTGATGTCCTAAGAAATTATATATTATACGAGGGTGGTCCGATAAGTACTTAGCCTATAAAAGAAAAACGAAAATTTTGGAAAAGTGGCGATTTATTTCTCAACATAGTCTCCTTTTAGCTCGATACACTTGATCCAGCGATGCTCCAACTTCTTTAACCCGTCTGAAAAATACGTTTTCTCGAGGTCTGCAAAGTAGGCCTCCGTGGCGGCGATGACCTCCTCATTCGACTCAAATTTCTGCCCGGCGAGTGACTTTTTCAAGTTTGGAAACAAAAAGAAGTCGCACGGGGCCAAATCTGGAGAATACGGTGGATGGGGCAGCAATTCGTAGCCCAATTCGACCAATTTGACCGTGGCGAGGGCGGAGGTGTGAGCCGGTGCGTTGTCATGGTGGAAGTTTTTTCTTCGCTAAATGGGGCCGTTTTTTCTGCAATTCGGCGTCGAATCGGCCCAATAATTCGGCATAGTACAGCCCTGTGACCGTTTTGCCCTTCTCCAGGTAGTCGATGTAGATCACACCTTGTGAATCCCAGAAAACGGTGGCCATCACCTTTCCGGCCGATAGGACAGTCTTCGCCTTTTTCGGAGCATGTTCGCCGGGTGAAGTCCACTGTTTCGACTGTTCCTTGGTCTCTGGTGTGTACCAGTGGATCCATGTTTCGTCGACGGTCACGAAACGACGCAGAAACTCCTTCGGATTGCGCTTAAACAGCGTCAAACACTGCTCTGAAGTGGTCTCACGGTTGCGCTTGTTGTCCGGAGTGAGCAAACGCGGCACCCATCGCGCCGACAGCTTTCTCATGCCCAAAATTTCATGCAGGATATGACCCACGCGGTCTTTTGAGATGCCTACTGTCTCAGCTATCTCGCGCACCTTCAGTCGGCGGTCTGCCAATACGAGATCGTGGATTTTTGTCATGTTATCCTCCGTGGTAGCCGTTTTCGGGGCACCTGGGCGTGGCTCATCAAAAACCGACGTGCGACCACGTTGAAACTCGTTAAACCAATTTTTGACGGTCGCCATCGAAGGAGAAGAGTCACCGTCCAAGCGCTCTTTGATTTCGCTGCGCGATTTCCCTTCCAAAAACAAGAATCGAATCACCGACCGATATTGCTCTTTTTCCATTTTTCTAAAATCCGCGGACACGCCCGCTTCCACACGCGGTCAAAACAAAACTACGAGTCCGATTCGGCTGAAATTTCGACAGTAGCCGTCTACGAGAATGTACTACACGATAGTAAATTTCTCTTGCGATAGTGGCGCCATCGGGCGGTGAGGCTAAGTACTTATCGGACCGCCCTCGTAGTTATATATTACAGTTGGATCAGCTACTAAGAATCGGAAATGTAGCCAATCTTCTGCTTCTCTTTTCTCCTGCACCCAATTCTCTTTATTTCTTTTTCCTATTTTCATTCTGTTTGGGTAAATAATTGGATACTTGAGAGTGGATGAAATGTTTTTCGGAATCTTTTGTTTAAAGCCCTTAAAATTAACTCAATTCAAGAAAAAAGAAAGGGAGGATATTATGCTTGTTCCGATTTTATAATGTCTGTGCATACGTTTATGTTTCTGTGCGCAAATAAACCTTGTTTCAATGTCACTCGCATTTAGAATCATCCATAATCAATGACAAGGACTAAGATAGATAACTATAATATGTAATCTCTTGGGGCATCAAAGTCACATATATTTTGCATCTCTGATTCAATACCATGAAAGGTGATCATTTCTCATGGTTTTGCAGTCAGGTATGTGTGCTATCTGACATATTTTATGCCATCATTAATTTTATAATCAATATAGTCATCAATATAAAAATAATATTTTATTATAATATTCATGATTTTCCAATATATTATTTACACTTTTAAGGTGAGTTATGCACTACACAAAATATTCACAAATATGAATTGCTGTATTTAAATAAGATAACGGTCATGTTAAATATGTTCGTTCAGGCTGAAAGCGGATTAGTTTAATATTTTATGTATTAAGAAATAATTTTTGATAATTTATAATGAAATCCAGAGAAAACTGAAATCATGGTTTATCGCCTTCTCCCCCCTCTTCCTCTGTCGTATGACACATTGACTTTGCGCTACGAGTCAGCAATTCTTACTTGGTATATATTGAAGCTTAATGAAATTACTGCAATAATAGTTAATATGCAATATGATATGTTAAATGATGCCACCATAAAGTCGGCGAACCTATGAACACGAGGGAGAAAAGTAAGGCGAAAGACAACGTAATGCGAACAAAGAACAATAAGACTACAATTGATATTAGATGATATTTATATTGCAATTATATTTTTCTATGTACCTTTCTGTCTATGTATAGTCCTAGCAATATTTTTAATTATCGAGCACTTTAAGAACTCAATACCTTTTCTTTTTTGAATAAAACTATTATATAAAAGGCATAATTATAAAAAAATACAAATGTGTACTGACTCCATGGCCTTACGGTGTGCAATTACAGCGTGCGTTATCTTCTTGCAAAATGCATGTTCCCATTCTAAATTTGACATTCGTAACATACTATCTTCAATGGAGTGATGCAGACGATAACTATAAGTATTTCCAAGTTGAAATTGCGATCGGATCAGCAATATCATTCGATCGTTACCTGGCAATCTTAAACAAGCCCAAGCAATGATGGGTAAATGTTAACAGTTGTGTCCCAGTAGATAATAATATGGAGACAAACGTCACAATGATCACGAATTCGTGCAATACTTTAGTGTAAAAATACTTATTCTCTGACGTGAAATATTCCGCTGATATAATAAGTTTGTGAATTCTAGGCTTATCTAGCGGCGATATAACATCGAGAATAATCGGATAAAACTGAATAACGATTCCAATGAATATTATAAAACCGGAAAGCACTGTAAAACGGGAGAATGTTAACGTAAACGAGAGATGAACCTTGCAGAAACACACTGAATATCGATATTTTCTTACGGAATAGTATTATATCATAGGTTAAGCTTTTCTGAATATGTTTCAACATAATTTCATTTTCTGCTTTACTATGTAATATTTCCCAGTCTTCCTGGATTCGACGGTGCATTTGCATCAGCTGTCATTAAAGTGTCTCCTGGTTTAATCAAGGCTTACGGGAATGCGTGTGTAAATAAATCGTTTAAAGAGAATATTATGGTTCTCTTTTTCAATCGTTATTCGTGCAAGAAAATTGAAAGATAACGTACAGTTTCCGATTTGAAGATGAAGCTGCAGTATATCACTTCAACTATCACATAAGGTAACGTCGTTGACATAATTTTAACAAAGAGATTGATATCAATTTTCGTTGTAATAAAAGCTGCAACCTGGAAGTAATTAAATGAGGTGATTGTGTTCAATCGTAATTATGAATATTTGTCACACTGCCGCAACAAGAAATGAGCGATTTTACAATGTTTGTTTTATATTATAATATCTTCGGATCTAATATCTAAGGAAATGATCGGAACGTGTGTAATTCTTAAGAAATATTAGATGTATGTAAAAGTTTTAGTCTTTTTTTAAATCTCTAACATAATTATTTTAAATTGAAATATTTTCCCGTCATTTTGTGTTTTTGTATTGTAGTATTGAACTTTCTAAAACGCCATTCATTCATTCATGATTCATTGGTTGATACAATAAACGACGAAAAACTTTATATTCGACACTACATTCGATGTGAATAGCAATAGAAAGCTAGAAGAAAGATTGGAATCCACAATGTCTGCGTTTAGGATTATCATACATAATCCATTTTTCATTGCCAATAACAATTTTCGATAAAAAATCTTTTTTGCGCTATCTGGAAAGCAATGAAATGCATGTACTAAACTGACGGATAAAGTTGTTTTGCGACAACTCATGCAGCATTCATTTTCCTGAATTTTTCTCATTTTATGCAGTCGCCTTGAAACTATCCCTTGATCAACTCCGAGCTGTTCTGCGAGTTCTACTTGCGTTTGGAACGGATTTTCATTCAACAACGTTTCCAAATTATTGCCTTTAAGCTTTCATGGCGTTTCAGAGCGCGGATGATCATTCACGTCAAAATCATTATCTTTAAAGCGAAACTAATATTTGCAGGTATTGCGGGACACAATATTTTTCCCCAGAATAGAGCAAATAAATTCACATGCTTTAGCAGCATTTTTTCCTGCTAGACTTCATATCGAATGTAGGGTCAAATATAATTTTTTCAATATAAAATTTTTCGTTACTTATTATATCAACTGTTATTTTTAAGTTTATGCGCACCAATGAATCATAAAGGCATTTTAGAAAGTTCAATATCAACCTTACAAAAACACAAAACAGCGAAAAAATATTTCAATTTAAAGTAATTACATTAGAGGGTTGAAAAAAACATCAAAACTTTTGCATACATCTAATAATACTCGATTTATTTGGAGTGGGATTAACCAGATTGCTACCATTGTTTTTCTATTATTGTGAAATCGTCCGCCGCAAATCATTCTACACTTTTCGTTTTCTCTTTATGTAATACTATAAGATAGATTCAATTATTGGGTATGGGAATAAGTTTCCCATTTTAAATACAAATTAGTCGTTTATTTAAACAAAAAATACAAAATGATTTTATTCAAAGTACGCCCCATTGGAAGCGACAACTTTCTCCCATCTTTCAGGTAGTAAACGGATTCCTCGAGGAAAAAGATCAAGTTCTTTTGACTCGATCCATTCATTAAGCCATTTTTCGATACCTTTATGAGAAGTGAACCGCTCTCCAGAAAGGGCCGACTGCATGGACCGAAATAAGTGGAAATCCGAAAGAGCAATATCTGGCAATATCTGGAATACGGAAGTTGGGGCAAGATTTCCCAATTCAATCCTTCCACATATTTTTGGACCGGTTTTGCAACGTGGGGTCTAGCGTTGTCGTGTAGCAGAATCAGCTTGTTGTGTCTATTATCCCATTCCGGTCGTTTCTCTTTTAAAGCTCGGTTCAAACGTATTAACTGCAGTCAGTAACGATCCCCAGTGATGGTTTCGGACGGTTTTAGAAGCTCATAATAAATAACACCCTTGTGATCTCACCAGATGCATAACATAGTTTTCGAACCGTGGATATTCTGTTTTGGAGTTGATGGACCTGGTTTACCTGGCATCACCTGTGATTTCAGTCGTTTGGGATTGTCGTAGTAGATCCATTTTCATCGCCAGTGACAATTCGATGCAGAAAACCCTTCCTTTTTTGTCTTCGAAGTAACATTTCGCACGTCACCAGACGTCTTTCAATGTCTCTCTCTTTCAATTGATGTGGCACCCAATTTCCTGATTTTTGGACCATCCTAACGCATGTAAACGTTTTCCGACGGTAGATCTATCAACATTTAACTCGTTTGAAAAATCTTCGAGCGTTCGACTCGGATCTTCTTAAATCTTGCAGTTGTGCATCTTCGAATTTTTTAGGTGCCCTTTCGCGTTCTCGGTCGCTCACGTAATAATCACCACTTCGAAAACGCCGAAACCACTCTTTACACGTAATACTCGACGGAGCATGATCGCCGTAAATATCAACAAGCATTCGATGCGTTTCAGCAACACTTTTCTTCAGAATATAGTAATGGAGTAACACTTCCCGCAAATGCTGTTTCGTTGGGGTAAATGTTGCCATTTCCGACACGAAAAAAAATGTTTACGCTTCAAACGAATGTCTACTACTGCGATTCAAAGCTCACAAATATACCTTCAGAACATAAGTATAGTCATTCCATCAAACATGAAATTAGTACCACTAGCGTACCATTATCTTTCTGAAAAGGGCGGAAATTTATTTCCATACCCAATATTTTATGCAGTCAGAATGAAAAAAATTACCAGATTCAAAATTGCCAGATATTCGTGACGTCGGTTTCGTAAAAATGACTACGTCACACTCGGATGAGTAATGTTTGGCAGCGAACGTATTAATTCGAAATTGAGATTACCGCAGATAGATGCACTGTTACCTGCATGCCGATATACGTTATGGTCAAAATGAAGATCAGCACTTGCTGTAGTAAATTAAGATACGATTTGTCAACAGGCCAGATACCTAATGCTTTGAGAAAAGCTTTGTTGATCGTGTAGTAGTGCTCCTCAACCTGCAGATACATGTCGAAGATGAAACGCGAATGAACAACGAATAACTGTTTTTTGACTCCATCGCGAAGTTTTTATTCGACTCTTGGAAATCATTTGAGAAGTGTGCTGAGGGATGCAACATGTTCCTATTGAATGATTTATATTTGCCGTAATGTGCAGCTCGAGCGAAATTAACGGCGAGCTTATTTCGAGAAAAAGGAAAAGAAAAACGAACCGATCTACATTTCACAAGCCTAAGTATGATTGAGTCAATTATCGAAATCGTTACGGAACTTCCTTTGCAAATTCTCGATAATTGCGAGATAGCATGTCGTTTTGTATCATCACTTTTTCCTATTCTTGATGCACTTGCGCAGTCGGGAGAACGTTCGGTTAAATATCGAACGTGGCATCAGTCTTTTCTCAGCTATCAAACGCTACGCTAGAGGAAACCGCTGCTCTAGGTTGAGCGAATTCTTTTTAACGTTTTGTTACTTACATGCTGTCGTGGTTTTTCGGTTGTTAAAAGTATGTACCTTCTATAAAAAATAACACTCGGCAACATATTCTTATCTTTATCTATGCTTTATCTATAATGTACGTTCTGCTGCTTTAAAAAACTAAAAATTTATTAATGTATCATGCGCGCAGTATCAAGAATAAATAAACATTTTAATATATCTATGCTAATTTTTAATATATTATGCTAATTTTAGTACACTATTTTCAATACATTATCTTTTATTAAATTATAATTGACAGATTTTTAACACATGCGCGCGTGTATTTATATGTGTTTGCACAACTAATATACATTTGCCTAATCGGTATTAAGCTTCTCGCTATTAGTTATTACCGCATGGAATAAATTACTATGAAGTAGGGTACGGCTGTGCTCACCATCTGAAAGGACACGTTGCACTGTTCATTAAATCCGCGTTAAAATTCAATTATTTCGCAATGTTGTGGGTTCAGTTCAGTTCAGTTCAGTTTGAATTTTACCGAAGCGAAGCCTTCCAGAGACGCGTCGATTATGCCGATGCATGTTAAAGAGACATTTTTCGTTTCTTTTCTCATCATGAATAATATCAATTTCTGCACTTGCAACGGTGCCGCGTACCACGTACGTGGTACGTTATAACTGTAATTATTTTATCATTACTCTCGTAAAACAATCGTAAAAATTCGAGAAGATTATACAATACAATTAATAATAAATTGTCTGTGCATTCGAAAGTCTCGGAATAATATATGACGCAATCGGTTCAAATTTACACGAATGTAATTACCGTTGGTGTTAAAAGCGCTACAAAATAAAGCACGATATAAATATAAACAAGATACGCACGTTATTCTGAGCAACTGTATCCCGTGTTCTGTTATTTCCTGGCTGCCGTAATTGGCGACGAACATACAAATCAAATTATTAATTATGAGTAGAGCGAATATGAACATCTCTCTGGTATTGTTTGCTAATGTTATTAGCTGACAAAACTGCAAAGGATAGAGTGCTTTTTGAAGTTCGATTAATTCACGATTAATTAGAATAAAAAAGAGATTTCACTCACTTGGAATAGATTGAGACTCAAAGTGAAGACGCCAACCAGAAGCAAAATAAAGAACATTGTCACAAATTCGGACGTTAAATTCTCGATAAACCTTCAATGGGAAATTGAATGTTGCATCTGTCACATTAATTTAAACGCGAATAACGCGAAAGTTTTCGGAAATTTTATTGATTGAATTGAAGGTAATCCCGCGATAAGCAATGTAAAGTTTAATATTACTGCACGGTGAAGCTGCGGCGATTAACGATAATTATTACGTTTACGTATAATTAATATATAAATACATTTTAATCGCACTTTTAAAATCCGTCGATATTCACGTCATCAAGCACAAGAGTTATTGAAATGCATTCGCACATATTTAATGTACATTCAACTATTTAACTCGTTTGATTTTGAGCTTTACCGAATTTACGATTCGCATAGCGTTTAATGAACAAAGGAAAAAGATTTGACGTATTTCTGTGTTAAACGTGCGGTGAGGATACGCTTCCGACAATAGTCGTGCCCAGAAAAAGAGTTGTTATATTAACATTAACAATCAGATTGGAATGAATCTTTCTGATTCCATAACAGTACCATAACAGTATCATTGAAACTATTCTATGTCGTACCGTTATTAATCATGAAATGTCCGATTTCCTTAAGTTCGATAGTCGATATCTCTGACATTTCACTTTTACAGTTCTTAGTTTTTTTTTTTATTATGAAGGTACATCATTACTCTTTCAAACGCATGTTTTGCTTTGTGATTATCTTTCGAGTTATCTTTATTACAGCAATTTTTGTATAACCACGGATAAGTAAAAAATTCGTGTTTGAAATATCAACAAAGTGTTTGGTAAAGATGTGACTAATGAACGCATAGTACATCGATACGAGGGTAGTCCCAGAAGTACCTGACCTGACGTATAGATAGCGGTTGTTGTTTGAAAAGAATGACTATGGTAGAAAGTACCAACCTTATAAAGTTCAAGTTTGAAGTTTAACGACGCTACGTTGTTTAGTATTTGTTTGGCAGCCATCAATAGTGAACGCTCTCATTGAATTTGTAAACATGGAAAAAATTGGTCATCGTTATGTGATACAATATTTCCATTTGGAAGGCCTCAGTCCAACCAATATCAAAGCGGAGCTAGATTCTACTCTGGGGGAGTCTGTTCCTTCGTTTACAACAGTAAAATATTGGGTGGCAGAGTTTAAACGAGGCCGTATGAGCTGCTGAGACGAACATCGTTGTGGTCGACCAAATAAGGTGAACTACGCCAGAAATGGTGAAGAAAATCCACAAAATGGTATTGGATGACCGTCGACTGAAAGTGCGCGAGTTAGCAGATATGGTAGGCATTTCAAAAAGTGCTGTACATCGCATATTGACTGAAAATTTGGACATGAGAAAGCTGTGCGCAAGATGAGTGCCGCGATTGGAACAAAAACAGCGTCGTGAGGATGTTTCAATCGAGTGTTTGGCGAAGTTTCGTAACAATAAAACCGAGTTTTTGCGTCGATTCATAACCATGGATGAAACATGGTTCCATCACTCTACACCTGAGACGAAGGAACAGTCAAAACAATAGACCAAGGTGGCTTGATGGCTATTGGAGGAGCTGGAAGATTCCCACTATAAACAGGGTATCGAAGCTATTGAACATCGCTGGGAAAAGTGTATTGAGCTAAAAGGAGACTATGTAGAGAAATAAAGGTATATTTTCCCAAATTTTTTGTGTTTTGCTAGTTAGGTCAGGTACTTCTGAGACTACCCTCGTAGTTTGAGAAGTTTCGTTCTGGCGATTTTAATTTTGAAAATAAGCCACATGGGTGACCTGAGACCAAGGTGAATAATGATGAGCTGAAAGCTACAGTGGAAGCGGATACATCTCAAACTACGCGTGAATTAGCAGCAAGGTTTAGCGTTACTATGCCAACAATATTGGATCATTTGAAACAAATCGGCAAGGTAAAGAAGCTGGATAGATAGGTTCCGCATGAATTAAATGAGCGTCAGAAGAGAAATCGTCTCGAAGATTGCCTTTCTTTACTATCATGACATAAAGGCGAACCATTTTTACATCGTATTGTTATGTGTGATGAAAAATAGGTTTCTTTCGACAATCGCAAGAGTTCGGCACAATGCACTATGAGCTGGAAGATCCGAAAAAAATGGCTAAAATACTAAAAGTGCTCTAATTGCTGTAAAATTTAATACTTGGGGATTTTGGGGGACGATGAATTCGAATCTAAATTTAGAATTGAGAAATTCAAAATGGCGTATCCAAGATGGCGCATGAGAATACTAAAAAAAGCTCCGATTGTGTTGAAGTTTGGTAGGTTTTTGGGAGTGTTAAATTTGAATGTAAAAATATAAAATAAATATAAACTTATTATATTAGTATAAGCATTCTTGTACGCCTGCAGATAGCTTATATATTTATAAATTACCGTAGGAGATTCGGAACTGAAGAGACCGAGTCAATACTGTGCTGATTATTGATATTGTAATAAAGTGAACTTCTTAGTTTTTTAATATAGATCCTTCAAAGTAAACAAAAATTCTAAGATTTCCAAAGAAAATTTTTCTTTGTTTTTTTTCTCACACTACTATAAAGACTAGATTTTTTATTTGTAAAGAGAAAATTCTCTCTAATTCTCGTATTTTATTTCGTTTGTGGTCATTTCGAGACGTTTTAATGACGTTCCAATAACGTGTAAAACGTCAATAATATGTCACAAGACGAAAAATACGTTGTAAATTAGATATTTAATCAATGTGAAACTGACGTCATTGACTTCAAAATCATGTATCTTTTACGCCATTTTGACGAAGCCTTGTTAGCTGACATACATTATTAATCGTGGTTATAATTACATATATACGGTTATTTCTTTTTTGCCACATTCGATTCGCCATTTTAAATTTTGAATTTTTGACATCTGATTTACTATCAGCGACCTCGGAAACCTACCAATATCAAATTTCAACACGATCAGAGTTTTATAGCATTTTTGTCCGCCATCTTGGATACGCCATTTTGAATTCTTAAATTTTGAGTTCAGGTTTGAGTTCAGCGCCTCAAAATCCTCGAGTACTAAATTTTAGTACTGGAGTTTTCTGTGAAATATTTTTAGTATTTAGCCACTTCACTGGTCTCACGGCTTCTTGTGCAAAACCATGAGTCTGTATGCAAAGTATCACGAATATCTCCATAAATTATGAAAGGTGGCAGCTGGTGATAGCTAATCTTATAGAATACATCTCAATGAATTCCACGGTACCTCAGAATTGAAGATACAAGGTGGAACCTCGGGGAACTTTTGATTGAAAAAATGTCTACTTTGATAAAATCATTAAATGCGCGTACAAACCATTATACTACTAAAACATATGCAAATATTTAAACAATTTTATGTGTTTAATTAACTCATACACACTTTAATAAGCAAACAAGAATATTACATTCAGATTTCAAACATTATGATTCGAGCTTCGTTAGATTATGACCAATAGAACAGTGTTACGGATAATGCCATATATTTTAACTTTAGAACTTTTTAGGAGAGAGGTGGTTTATCAAAATGCAATATAATTTCGTGAAAATGTGCTTCCAAGTATGTAAATTATGAGTAAATTATCCTCTCATGTAAACTTTAACTTCGACTTTTGGCTACATTTTCGGGTCTTCCAGCCCATAATGCAATGGTTGGATATAGATAAAGTGCCGAAACAGTCTGAAACCGAATATTCACCAAAAAAGCTAATGGTGTCTGTTTGGTGGTTCTGCGCTGGTATTATCCACTATAATTTCACGAAACTGGTCAATCGATTACAATGAGTGTCTGCTATAACCAACTGAACGAAATAATAAAGATATTTGCAATTAAACATTCGAGATTGGTCAATAGAGACAGACCGATCTTCTAGCCAGACAACGCTCGACCATATGTCGCACAAACAATGCTGCTCAAACTACAAAAGCTGGACTTGGAAACTTTTTGTCACCTACAGTGTTCACCAGATCTTGTCAACTGATTATCACTTCTTCTGGGCACTGGGCCAGTTCTCG